GTGCTGGTGGGAAGGGGTCTTCTGGGGTGGAGAGGAGCTGGAAAGCAACCCTGCCCAGGGCCAAATCCTTCCTCCCCAGCAGGCTGGGCTATTGCTCCTTGCGAAGATGGATTACGCCAAGTCCTTGAGTCTGCGCCTGGCTGCCCCCGTCTCCAAGTAAGTGCTGGGGAGCCACCATCCCTGGGGTGGGGGACATGGGAGCCCTCCCTCTTTTGGCACCTCTCAGCTCCCTGGGTGGATGTGCTGCCCCCCACTGAGACTTGGGGGGGGGGGTAGTGGTGCTGCCCAGGGCTGGCAGGGGTCTCAGGACACCCCAATCCCTCCATCCCTCTCCAGATGTGTCTCCGCAAGTGCCTCCATGACCCAGCAGCTGCTGTCGAGCCCAGCCCCGCGGCCCCGACCCTACCGTGTCTGCAACTGGGACCGCAGCATGCGCAAGGGTGTCATGGCACACAGCCTTGCTGAGCTGCTGCGCCAGGTGAGCCGGGGTCTGTCTGTCTGTCTGTCTGCCCAGGTGGGTTTTGGGCTGGCTGCCCTCCAGCCCCACTCACGCCCAGCACCCTTGCAGGCTCAGAGCGCCCTGCTCGCCCCGGGTCCCATCTCGCTGGTGCTGGATGAGGATGGCACGGCAGTGGAGACGGAGGCTTTCTTCCGGACGCTGGAGGAGGGCACAGTGCTGATGGCCCTGAGCAAGGGGCAGACCTGGGCTGCCTCCAAGGCAAGTGCACCCCTGGGGCACGGGAGCCCGCTTCGTCCCATGGGATCAGCAGGGAGATGATGCTGGGCTGGGTGGTACCCGGGGCGCTGGGGTGGGGTAGGACCGGGAAGGTGGGCAACCCTGGTCCCGCTCTCCCCTAGACGCCCGGCTACCAGCTGAGCTTGTCCCGCAAGCCCCCTCGGAGGATCGATGTCGCCTGTGTCACTTTTGACCTCTACAAGACCACCCCGCGGGACCTGGGCTGCCTCAACGTCAAAGCCACGCTCTACGGCACCTACAGCATGTCCTACGACCTGCGCTGCTACGGGGCCAAGCGGCTGGTGAAAG